GCTAAGACACCGGTTGCTTCTTGGCGCTGAGTATCCGTTTCGCGCCTCATGGTGATTAACATAGCTGAGGGCACCGCATCACCTTTTGGTTGATTAGCTCTACATATCTATGGCCCGTAACAAAAATGGCACGCGGCCTGAGGTGGTTAACTTGAAAACGAACCGATGACTAGCGGACTCGCAGGCCTGACTTCGCCGTTTGAGTGCCATCTCCAAGGAATCATGCGCTCCTCGCTGAATTTGAGTGGCTTCAACGATGACAGGGTCTTGTACAGGGACCCTGGGTCTCTTTTTCCTCGTTTCTGGGGGCAGCACCTCAACGTTCGCAACCTTGGCCCCCTTATATAAGTATGCGACTATCTTATTGCCTGGGGGCATGTTCCGGTCGCGATTCTCGCCACCAAGTTCTCCAAACACAGTTGAGCTATACAATGACAGTCAACATCACAAATTTCTTCATGCGAAATCTCCCATGTATTGAGTTTTCAATTGCGGAAGAATCTTGCATCTAAAGAGTAAGCCAGAGCTTTGAAAGCGCACCTGTTGCTGCATGAGGCCAGGTTTCCTTCCGCGTTGTGACGGTTTAGCGAGTTGATCAATATCTGCAACGAAGCTAATAGACTCCTCTCAGGCATACGGTCAACGTCAGAAATCCAAGAAAAGAAGCAGTATGGCCGTTCCATGTGCGGAAAGATCTCTGAGTGCCGAGCAGAACTCAACTCCTGGTGCGGAAGCCAATCATTTCGAGAGCGCGGTCAGCCCGAGCTGGCTGGATCAGAAGTCTCGATACATCTTGAAATTACAGACTTAAGTTGCTAATCTAGCTCCAGCCCTTTGTGCTCTGCCATACGATTCTTTCGAGCACGATCGTACTATTCTTGCTGCAGCTTCGGAGGGAGATGCTGCGCTATATCCCGAATTCAAGTTCGAATTTCCAATGACCCATTGGGTGGTCTACCTACTATTCGACTCGGGTAAGTTGATCTACAACGGTCTGTCGGAACCCTATTGTGTGCCCCTTGATCGGGTGCATGGTTTTGGTGACCCGATGCTTCAATCTATGAAGGAAAATCAATGCCTCCGTTCAGAGTGGGGTTGTCACGAAAGGTACCCCAACGCTCTGACGATGGAGCTCGGAAAGACGACGATGTGAGCAAATTACCTCACTCCATTGAGTTGCTCTAACTATGAGACATTAGTCTGATTTTCTACGTGGCTTACTTGGATTTTCGCCCTCTCAATCCTTTCACGTGAAGGCGCTGCACTGGGACTACTGAGCACTATAGATCGGGCGCGTCCGGGCTTTTGACAATGCGTCGTGTTAGCGATGTAGAAGACATCACATATGGTATTCCACAAAGAGGTCAAGTCTGGCAACGAAACGGGACATGGCGAGAGCCGGGAATTCGAATGCTCGAGGAAACGAGAGACAGGCTCAAAAGCTGTGCCTAGCATTCATGACAGCATCAGGAGAGCGCGCATTAGTCAGGCCTTGAAGCTCTCCAACTTGTCAACTTATCTCTTGAGCAGCACCAATTCCATAGATACCCCGATCATCGTCTACTTGAACTTAGTCGTGGCACCTTTGGAACCAGTATCGTTCACATGCCTTTGACCTTCCCAGTGCGCACTGCCTTGCGTGATGTTCAGTTCCAACGGCCCACATCTTCGAAAGCGGGCTTCACTTTGTGTTTTTTATTCTATGATTTACCATTTGCCGTGCCACTTCGTGCCTGAGTCGTCTGCGGTCTATCCGAAGATATGCTGAGTGCGCTCGTCGCGAATGCATCGGAAGGTTGTCACTCTTGTATATACAAATACTACCATTGTTTCCTGCCGCATCATCATGAATCCATAATTACTTCAGCTTGATCCGTAAGTCACTGCGCGTCTGTGGAAATAGTAAGGCCCCCGCAGTCCCAATCGAAACCGCGCGAGTGAAATAACTGTTCGGATTTCGTCGCTATAGTGACTCCAGGGTCCCCATCTCGCGACCATGCACGTCACCATCCCTTTGTGTTGAAACCGTCGAGATCGGCCGTGTGAACAGCGAAGTATAGGGTATCGATGGACCTATCCTTCCTCGTGGTGGTCCAGGCGATCTCGGAATACTGCTTCAGGTTCGCGACGTCATGGGAGGCATGACGGCGCTTGAGCACTGGATTGGTAGTAGCTGACTTCTGTTGGCGCTCCCAAGACACATTCCGTCGAACAGGCTCAGGTAGCTCTGTCTTTACCAATTTTCGTCGTGTGGTTCGGGGGATGAGGACGTCTTGGAAGTTGCGGCTAGCAGTCTTGGAGATAGACCGACGAGCGGACCGTGGCACCTCGGTGACAGGCTTCAGAGACTGCGAGCGGTTTCCACGCTTCATCATCAATGGGGCGTCGTCGGAATCGTTGAGAGAGACGGCCAAGGTAGACGGGGCCGGGTGGCTGTCACGAGACCAAGGGATTACTGAGGTAGACCGAGAGGCAATATTGCCTACCCCTCCGCGATTGTTCTGCTCAACGATCATCATGGAAATAAGAGAGCAATGCGAGATCGCCTTATCGTTGATTTCGACACGTTGGAAGACAGTCTTCTCGTCAACGCCAGACTTTTTCTCTTTCTTGATCGAGTCTTCCCGCTCGGAATCATCATCAATTGCGCATTCGTCAACGCAGTCGGTGTTTGAGTTTTGGTGGAGAAAGGCTTTCGACTGGCTTGTAGGATTCTGGCGACGATTCGAGGTAACGTCGCTTTTGGGGGGGCCTTTGGTCTTGCAGTCGCCCACGGGGGGTTCGTTGTGCCTTTGTACGGGAGGCTGAGAAGTTGTCCGCACGTTGCCCTGAGACTCCTTGTCGGATTCGAGGCCGCCCAAGGTCTTCTCGCTTGCCTGAATACTTTTGGTAGCTGAGGAATGGCTGGACCCAGAGAGAGCAGCCAGAGATCTGCGAGGTGATAGCAGAGGGCGGGTTTGACAATCTTGTGAGCGTGTCAAACCGCGAACAACGATGGTGAGGGACCCAGTATCAAACGACCGAGTTTCTTGGAGATGCTCCTTCTCTGAGGCCTTGCCAGAGTGCTTGGTGACACCAATCGCGCATTTCTCATGATCAGACGAGGAGGAGGGAGAGTCGACGCTGTGAGAGAGTTCGGGGACAGCTTGTGAGCGTATTGGTAGACTGTAGGTGGCGATGGAAACTTGGTGCTCAGCAGTGGAAGACAACCGGATGTCTTCGTGATGAAATCCTAGCAATTCCGTCAAGACTGTGTCTAAGGCATCTGGAAAGAACATTGTGCCCCGAAGTGAGGGAATTGTCGAAGTGAGAGAGTCGTCGGTTTGGCTGGCGTGAAGA